CTTTGTTGATTTTTTTTTTTTGTTTTTTGTCTAGTTGATCTATTTGTGACAGTGGAGTATTGAGGTCCCCCATTAGTGCTTATTTGATTTTTCATGTCCATTAATATTTGTTTTATATAGTTGGGCACAGTGGTATTTGGTGCATATATATTTATGATTGTTATCTCTTCCTTTTGGATTTTAACAAGTATTGGGTGACCTTTGTCTCTTTTGATCAGTCTTGGCTTGAAGTTCACTTTTTCTGCAAATAGAATTGCTACCCCTGCTTTTTTCTGGGTTCCAGTCTCATGAAGTATTGTTTTCTATCCTTGAACTTTCAGTCTATGAATATCTTTGTGAATTAAATGTGTTTCTTATATGTAGCATATTGTTGGATCTTGCTTCTTGATCCAGTGTGCCAATCTGGTTTTTTTTTACTGTTTCTTTACATTTATGGTTATAACTATGTGCAATGACTTATCCTTGTTGTGCTATTTTCCTATTGTTGGTCTCCCCACCACCACCCCTGTTTAATTACTTGCCTTGCCTGGTGGATTCATTCTGTTGTGGTGCATGGAGTTGTAGTTCATGTTATCTCTTTCTAGAATGACCTTCAAAATGTTTTGGAGTGCTAGTTTGGTGGTCATGAATTTCTTCAGGTGCTCTTTGCCTTGGAAGTATCTTATTTGCCCATTTTGAAAGATACTTTGAAAGATAGTTTTGCAGGTTCCTCAATCGGGTTGGAGATTGTTTCTTTTAGGGCTTGAAATGCTTTACTCCAAGCTCTTCTTGACTTGAGGGTTTGTGTTGAGAAGTCTGCTATGATTCTGATGGGCTTTCCTTTATAAGTGATTTGTTTCTTTTCTCCATCAGCTTTTTTTGTTTGTTTGTTTTGTTTTGTTTTTCTTCCAGTACCAGGAATCGAACTCACGACCTTGTGCTTGCCAGGCGGGCACTTTGCCGCTGAGCTAAATCCCCAGCCCCTCCATCAGCTTTTAATATTCTGTCCTTGTGTTGAATTTTTGAAATCTTGACTTATCATATTCCTTGGTGTTAATTTTTTTTTTTTTTATCCTGGCTTTATTGGAATTCTATATCCCTCACTTACCTGTATTTCAAATTCTTTTTCCCTATTTGGGAAGTTTTCTGCCATTACTTCTGTGCACAGGTTTTTTATGTCATCTGCCTTTACTTCTGTGATTTTTAATTTTTCTGTTATATAATGTGTATTATATTTATTAATTTACTTGTGTGGAACCATTGTTGCATCCCTAGGATGAAACTAAATCAGTCATAATGTATGATCTTTTTATTGATTTGTTATATCCCGTTTTTTTTTCTTTGTTTTGTTTTTTGCCTTTTTGAGACAGGGTCTCACTATGTAGTTCAGGCTGGCCTTGAGCTCACTTTGTAGCCCAGGCTGGTCTTGAACTCGCAATGATCCTCCTGCCTCAGCCTCCCGAGTGCTGGGATTACAGGCATGCGCCACCACACCCGGCTATTATATCCTGTTTGCAAGTACATTGTTGGGGTTGTATATTTTAGCACATATGTTTATGAAGGAAATTGGTGCATAGTTTTCTTTGTTAAGTTCTTTTCTAGTTCCAAGGAAGCAGTTTGGCACAGTTCCTTCCCTTTCAAATTCCTGCAAGAATTGGAGGAATATTGACATAAATTTTTCTGTAAAGTTCTTATAAAGTAACATGTAGCAGTGCAGTGGGTCCATCAGGTACTGGGGTTTTTTTAGTTGTTAAGATTTCTTTGCAGATTACCTCTGTGGAAAGTTCTTGAGACTTCTATCACTGCCTCAGTTTCATTGCCTGTTATTGGACTATGCAAGGTTTTTATATCTTCCTGGTTGAGTTTTGATAAGTCATATGTGTCTGAGAATCTACTTTTTTTTCTACTTTGCCGATTTATTGGAATACAATTTATTTTCAAAGTAGTTACTTACAGTTCTCTAGATTTTGGTGGTTTTCATTTTGATTTCATATCTTTCATTTCTAATTGCTTTGATGTGAGTTTTTTCTTCACTACATCTGGCTAATGGCTTGTCTATTTTGTTCATTCAGAGAACCACCTGTGAGTCATTGATTTTTTTTTTTTTTTTTGTATTTTTGTATCGTCTCAATTTCATTAATTTATTCTCTGATACTTATCATCTCCTTTCTGGTACCAGTTTTTTATTTGGATTGCTCTTACTGTTCTAGAACCTTGAGGTATACCATTACATTATTTGGGATCACTCTGGTTTTTGACATGGGCGTTCACAGGTATATGCAGTCCTTCCATCTTAGGACCTCTTTCCTTGTGTTTCTAGGTTCTTTTTTGTTGTTTTGTTTTTGTTTTTCAAGACAGGACCTCACTGCATAGTTCAAGTTGGCCTTGAATTCACTATGTAGCCCTTGCTGGTCTCGAACTCACAGTGATCCTCCGGCCTCAGCCTCCCAAGTGCTGGGATAACAAGCATGTGCCACCATGCCCAGCATGTCTATAGGTTCTATAGTATGTTGTAGTGGCAGTGTCATTTGATCTAGGAACTTTAATTTCTTCGTTGATTTCTTCTGTGGCCAATTGATTGTACAAGTGTGTATTATTTAATCTCATGTGTTTGCATAATTTCTGTGATTACTTTTGCCATTGATTTCTAGTTTCACTGCTCTGTGATCTGATAATATACATGAAATTAGTTTTTAATTCTTTTGTATTTATTAAACATACTTTATGGCTTGAGATGTGATCTCTTTTGAAGAAGTCATGTGTTGCTGAGAAAAATATATTCTCATGTTGCATGGAATACTCTGTAGATAGGGTTAGGGTTAGCTCTTAATTCCATTTGTTTGAATGTGTAGTTCATCTCTGATATTTCTTTCTTGGTTTTGTTTTGTTTTTGTCTAGTTGACCTATTTGTGCCAGTGAGATATTAAAGTCCCCAACTATGATTGTGTTGATGTTTATTTGGTCTTTGAAATCCAGTAATATTTGTTTTATAAAGGTGAATGCGGTGGCATTTGGTGCATATATATTTACAGTTGTTGTCTCTTCCTGTTGAATGTTCCCTTTACCAGTGTGATGACCTTCTTTGTCTCTTCTGATGAGTTTTGGTTTGAAGTCCATTTGTCTGAAAATAGGATGTTGCTTTTCCTTATTTTGGGGCTCCCTGTTGCATGGAGTATTGTTTTCCATCATTTTATTTCCAGTCTGTGTGTTTCTATATTGATGAGATATGTCTCTTTTATGCAACATACAGTTGGGTCTTTTTTTTTTTTTTTTTTTAATCTGATCTGTGTCTTTGATTAGAGGGTTAAGATTGCTCACATTTAGGGTTATAACTAAATGGTGTTGACTGATTCCTGTCATTGCATTATTTTTTTTCTGCTGTTTATTTTTTTCTCTTTTGCTTCACAGCTAACTTTGCATGGTGTATTTGTTCCTTTAGGCTGTTTGGTGCTTTTAGCATCATTGTCTCTGCGTAGGCTTTTTTTCAAGTACTTTTTGTAGTGCTAGTTAGGTGGTCATAAGTTTTGTGAGGTGCTTTTTGTCATGGCAAGTCCTTATTTTTCCATTAGTTTTGAGAGCTAGTTTTGAAGCACATATTAATCTGAACAGTGTTTGCTTTTAGGACTTGAAAATCTTCACTCCAGGCTTTTCTGTCTTTAAGGTTTGTGCTGAGAAATCTGTTGTAATGCTAATAGGGTTAGGGTTGGGGTTAGGGCTGGAAACCTAGGGGTCTTGCTGCTGCAGCTCTGGCTCATTTCCTCAGGATGCTGGATGCACTTCCAAGATGCCAAGTTTGCTGGACCTGGAGAGTTAGGGTTAGTACTGTGGTCCAGAGGGGGTTTTTTCTTTGGGTTGACTCTCCTTATCTGGCTTTGTCTCCCTGTGTCTCAGTTTCTGTTCCTCTGCGTCTAGTTTGCCCTGAGGGACCTCTGCTTCAGCAGTGCTTTCTTTATAAAAGACTTATTTCAGACTTAATTTCTTCACTTTTATAGGTTTATTCAGATTTTCCTTTTCCTCTTGAGTCAGTTTTGGTCATGTGTGTCCTCCTAGAAATATTTCTTTTTCATTTATCTAAAAAGTAACAGTCAAAAAGCTATTCTCTTAGTATTCTCTTCTGTTTTAGTCAATTTTTGCTGCTCTAACAAAATACCACAGGTAGAAAATTTATTTCCTCACCATTCTGAGGACTAGAAAGTTTATACCCAAGACACTATTGTTTGGTATCTGAGGACCTTCTTGCTGTGTCCTTACATGGTGGGAGGGACAGACAAAGAGTAGAAGGCAAAAGGACCAAAAATGATAAGTTGGTGCTCCCCAACCTGTTTATAAGCCAGGGATTCACTCGTAGGGTAGAACCCTGTGACTTAATCCTTTCCCCAAAAGGCCCCACCTCTTAATCCCACCCAGGATTTTGGGGGGACACACATTGAAACCACAGCACCATTTAACCTTTTTAATTTCTCTAAGGATAGTAATATCCCATTTCATTATTGGTTCTATAAATTTATCTCTTCTTGATCAGTCTAATTCAATGTTGGTTTTGTATATCTTTGGGTTTGATTTTTTTTCTCTTTTTTTGTTTTCTATTTAACTGATTTCTGCATTAATCTTTATTATTTCCTTTCTTCCTCTTGCTTTGTTCCCATTGTTCTAGTTTTGTTCTGTGAAATTTCATAGTATTGATTTGAGATCTTATTTTTAGAGATAGGTGTCAACTGCTCTAAATTTCCTCTTAAGCAGTGCCTTAGCATTATCCCATAAATTTTAATATGTTGTATGTTTGTTTCATACAACTAAAAGATTTTCCATTTTTCTTGTGGATTTTTTTTTATTGATGGATTATTTTCATACACTCTGAAGATACACAAATACACATCTTTTTTTGGTCTGCTACCAAAGAATTGGAGTTTGGTAAAGAGCAGATTAAAAGTGAAACTGTTAACCAATTAGTGCTCTTTTTCCTCTTAATTGTTTTAATTGAAAATATTTCCTCTAACCAGTTTTTCTCTAATTTTATGTAGGGTACACTGACAATGCTAAATGGAGATTATATTGAAGGTTATTTTAGTGGAGAATGGGGATCTGGGATAAAAATCACTGGAACTTATTTCAAACCCAGTCTGTATGAGAATGATAAAGACAGACCCAAGATTCTGTAAGTAACTGGTGTTGGTTTTGGATTAGTTATTGAATGTTTTGGATTGTCTTGCTTTCATCGAAGCTGGTTAATATTTTAATAGCAAAATCAAGGTGTTTTGGTTTTTGGGTTTTTTTCTCCCTAAGACAGGGTCTGGAAATGTAGTTCAGGCTGGCCTTGAAATGATCCTCCTTCCTCAGCCTCCTAAGTGCTGGGATTACAGGCATGTACTACCACTCATGGCTGCAAAGTCAAGTTTGTCTGTTCTTTTTAAGTTTTACCTTTTAGGGAGAGGTGGGGTGAGACAGGGTCTCACTATGTGGTCCAGGCTGTCCTTGAACTAACTTTGTAACCCAAACTGGCCTCAAACTTGGAGGAATCCTCCTGCCCCAGCTTTCCAAGTGCTGGGATTACAGGGAGGCACCACCATGCCCAACCAGGTTGTCCTTTTTATAAACAAGGTATAACCTCTGAATTGTCACCTGACAGTGGTGTTCATAACTAAATCAGTGATCTTGGCTTAAATTATAAACCTCAATGATGGATATTTAAAATAAAAGTTATAGGTGTGAGAGGAGTCCAACTTTTAATAGTACAGGGATTTGGGTTAGCTAAAACAGCATTTTCCCCTTTTTCTCAGGAAGCAATTTAATAAAATCAATTCTGTGGAAAGAGAGGAGACAGAGGAGTCAATTCTGATATGCTTTGTGCTTAATAATCCGTATATTTTAGTATCCAAAAAACAATAGTCCAGAGCCGTCCCTTTCAAATTTTCATTCAGTGTTTTAAAAATAGAACTGTTTAAATCAGCTTGAGGTAGTTTGGGCCACGGAAGTGTTCTCAGCTGTGAGTCAGGAAGTTTGCATTGTTTGGAGCAGTTCTGCACAGAACTGATTCGTAAAGGTTGCTGTGACTCTATTAGCAGGAAGCTGGGAAACCTGGCTGTAGCAGCTGATGAGAAATGGAAAGCAGTGTTTGATGAATGCTGGCGCCAGCTGGGCTGTGAGAGCCCAGGCCAGGGCGACGTCTGGAAAGCCTGGGACAACATCGCTGTGGCCCTGACTGCCAGTCGGCGTCAGCACAGAGACAGGTGAGTGAGGCCTGCCCGGCACGGGGCTGAGTGTATTAGAAAAATGAAGCTTAAGACCAGTGAGTGGCCAGGACTCACTGCATTTTATTTTAAAATATAATTTAATTTAAAAGTTAATCGTGTACTTCTGTCTCTGGGTAAGATGGATTAAAGCACACCTCTGTTATCTTCTGTTGAACGTAACTGTGGAACCTGGACAGAATGCATGGACGACTGTCTGAGAACTCTGGAGAGCAACCGGTGGAGTGAGTAAGCACACCTGAACCCCGGGGTGAGCTGCCGGTGTTTCTCTCGTTCTTCAGTCTGCACTCTGGAACCTGGGAGCTGGAAGTAAGCACAGTGGCACAGAGAGAGATCTGGAAGAAACCTTCTGGTTCCAGCTCAAGGAGTGAGACAGGCCTCCTAAAGCTCTGAGTAGAGGTAGCACCTCGCTTCCTTCCTGTCCTCGCCTCCAGGTTCTACAGTAGAGGCGGCGATGGGAGTGGCGGGGTGGGCAGCCAGTGATGGGACTTCAGGAGCCACAACTCTGAAACAGTGGAGTGTTGTCTGCTTTCACTGGAACCTCAGGCCCAATAGGCAAGGCTAAGCCTCTTGATTGGCAGTTTCACTCTATCCTCCCAGCTTTTGGCCCTGAATATGCCACATTCACAAAAGTGGGTAGCTTCTGGCCGAAAGATCTGAAAGAGAAGCTCTGAGAACCTGAAAATGCCTGGGAAGTGAGGGAAAGAGAGCTCTGGAAATCCCATGAAGTTATTTATAAACTCCTGGACTCATCACACACTGGCACATAGGCAGACTTGGTAGTACACCAAAGGCATTGAGAGCCACATGAGTAGATAGACCTATTCTTGGGCCCAGGGTGACTGCTCTGGTCATGCCCACTGCAGGCCCCCTCGGGACTGCAAAGGCTTTGAACTTACATTGGAATCAGCCTGCAGAAGACTGGAGCAAAACGTCCAGCTATTTTAAGGGCTTCTAAGATTTTTATGCTCAATGATTTTCTAGAACTCAGAACACTGAAGATACAGGCGTACTCATCAGTAAGATCATAACAGCACAGTATGGGTGCACAGCTAGATCAAAGGAGGAAGACGCCTATGTAAGTGTCCCATACTCTGTCCTTTCTGTGATGGGTCACACAGCGCACACACACTCTTCCCAGCAGAGAAACACTGGCGATTCAGGACCAGCAGTTTTTACTAAAGTCCTCTCATGTTGGCACCTTATGCCTAGCAACCAGCAGAATTGCTCAGTAATCCCAAAGGGAAAGCTATTTTTACCATAAGTCACGTGGTTGATACAGTCCACAGAGAGCAGAATCCCTTATCAGTCAGGAGCAGTTTCACATCAACATGGGAAATTTGGAGCAAACTTAGTTCCCAGACTCCAGCTGATGGCCAACCTTAAAAGCAGGTCCTTCTGAAGATAACAGTTCATGCTTGCTGTTTTTACTCTTCATGCATGTGAGCACTCTCCACAGGATATAGAGACCCAGAGTAACCATGAAAATCCCGAGTTGGGGAGACAATCAGCAGACATTGGTGATACAATGTTAGAGTTACCTGAGAAGAACTTTAAAGCAGCTGTTAAAAAATGATCAAATGAGTAGCCACAGACATCTTTGAAACAAATACTAAAGTGAAAGTATCAATACAGGTGTGGTGGTACACATCTGTGATTCCAGCTACTCCGAAGGCTGAAGCAAGAGGATCACAAATTGGAGGACAGCTTGGACAACTTAATATACTATCTCAGTCTTTTAAAAGGCTGGGGAAATCAAGGAGTGATGGCACACACCTGTAATGTCAGCATCGAGGAGGCTGAGGCAGGAGGATGGCTAGGAGTTCGAGACCCACCTGGGCTGAGTTCAAGGCCAGCCTGGACTGTATAGTAAGACCCTGATTAAAACCCCTTCTCCCCAAAAAAGCCTGGGGATATGGATTGGTAGTAGAGCACTTGGAAGCCTGCAGTGAGGCCTTGGATTCATTCCCTAGTACCAAGGGGAGCAGTGTCACCAAAGAAATAAAAGACCTAAGAAGAACCAAACCAGAGTCTTAGCCTACAATAACCTAAGGGACTAACCATGTGAACTCAGTAGCAGAATCAGTGAACTTGAAAATAGATTTGTAGGAATCATCCACTCTGGACAATAGAATGGGAAAAGGAGGCAAAAAGCAGAACAGAGCTTTAAGGCCATGTGGGTTTAAACTCAAAGAAGAAGAGAATATGGGTGGAAATTCTGTTGAAGAAAGAATGGTTGAAAATTTACCGTATTTGGTGAAAGATTTGAATTGGTAGAACTGAGAAGCTGAGCGATCCCGCCCTGGATCAAGCCAGGGACACACGTACACGGACGCGCCCTGTTCAGACTCACACAGACCTTGAAAGCAGCCAGAGAATGGTCTGCTGTGCGGAAAGAGCAGCTGAACGGCCGCCACGGTTCTCAGCTGTGGGAGGCCGCAGTGCCGCAGCACTTCGAAATGCTACAAGGACAGTTACAGTAACACTTTCTCTCCTTTTTTCTGTCTCTCCTTTTTCTTCTTTTCTCCTGTTTTCTCCATCTGCCTTTCTTCAGCTTTCCTTACCTCAGTTGTACCAGTAGCTCCCGTAAACATTGCCTGACATTTGGACCTAAAGACTGCTCTGCTCCCTGTAGTGAAACAATGAACTATTTTAAGTCTAATTCTAGGTCATTTTTTAAAGCTATTGCTTTATTAAAATATCAAAGAGCAGGGGCTGGGGATTTAGCTCAGCAGCAAAAGCGCCTGCCTGGCAAGCGCAAGGTCATGAGTTCGGTTCCCGGTACCAGAGAAAAACCAAAAACCCAAAAAAATAAAAATAAAAAAATAAAATATCAAAGAGCTTATTTTGATCCGTGTGTGCAATTATATGCACTTGATTTTAAAGTTAGTTTTTCATGTACAAATGTTAGTTTTTTTTCTAATTAAAGGAATTAAGATTGAGCAACTGTCCATTCACTCAGAATACAAGTGTGTGTTCTGCATGAGTAAAAGGTCTAGTTTCTTAAAGTTCTTTGTGCACGTCATCAGTTTGCAAGTATATAAGCGCAATATAGTTATGCAGAAATTAAATTCCAGAGATTGAAAAATATTTCAGGAAATTTAAATGTCTCAAATTACTATTTGTCTGACAAATAGTAATTGTTAATTTGCTAAAGAGATTAGTCTAGATTCTGTCTAATTGCATACTCCCAAATATTTGAAAGTAAAATAAACCACAGTATCTCTGCTTGCCATTTCTGGTTGTGTGTTTTCAGTAATTACATAGCAGGCAGTGGGGTTTTTATTCTCTGGGGAAAAGTAGGAATTGATTGTACTCTTTCATTCCTGAGCCTCATGATTGCTACATGCAGATGCAGACCTTGAGACTTTACCCTTGGCTAACCATTGCTGGGTATTCCTAAGAATTGAGAATGAGTGGACTTCTGCATAAAACCATGTGCTACCACAAAGATCTTACTGGTTTGTTATAATCTACTAACAATGGTGTACTCTTCTTAATTTCTAAAATCCAACTGCTGATCTGTTGTCTTGGCCTCTTCATGCAGAGCTTCCCTCTGCCTGTTCTGTGCTTCCTTGCCTCTCACCTTCTGGATGCCCACGTTATTTCCTTGCTTCCTGAGCTCATTTGCATTTTTTCATTTGCACCTTGATTTATTTTCCTTAGCTCTATCTCTTTTTTTACTTCATTTTCATCTCTAACAGGTTTATTTCCAGTTTTCTCTTCAGGCTAATGCCATGGGTTTCTTACCAGCATAATAGATTGGAGCAGAATCTTCATGAATTTATTGTAACTGGTGTGAGACAGTGTTAAATGCCGTTTTGAGTGAATGTTCTATAAATATGGTACCTAACAGAAGGGACCGTTTATGAGCTCATTTAGGCCCAAAACTGTGCCGGATGCTCCACTTCATCCATACTTTGTGACCATGTTCCATGTGCACATTTATAAGATCTTGCTTTCTTGATCTGAAATATATAATAGGCTTTCCTTTCCCTTTTTATAGTCCAGAAATATTAAGTCGCTCACAGACTCAGACACTAGAGAGTTTGGAATTCATTCCACAGCATGTCGGTGCCTTCTCTGTGGAGAAATACGATGATATCAAGAAGTATTTAATAAAGGTAAACTGGAATCAAAGTGACTTTAGTTTTGTGAATCAATGATGCAACTACAACATTATATCCTCAAATGTTAGCCTGGTCCTGGTTTTATTTTTTATGTGTTTCTTCTGCTAGTTCTCTAAGATCATATTTCTATATGAAGATTGTCCCATTATTAAGATGGAATTTCTTAAGTTTAAGAAGGTATTAGGGAAGTTTTTCTGTTTGTTTCTTTGGGGGTTTTGTTTGTTTTCTGGGTTTTTTGTTTTGTTTTCTTTTTGAGCCAGGGTCTCACAGTGTAGTTCAGGCTGGTCTTAAACTCACTATGTAGCCCAGGTTAGCCTTGAACTTGCAGCAGTCCTCCTGCCTCAACCTCCCAAGTGGATTTCAGGTATGCTGCACCATGCCTAGCCTGTTCAAGTTCTTAAGAACTAAGATCAGAGTTTAAAGCAGCTTTTTCTTAATAACATAAGAGATTGCCTATGGAAAGGGATGTTGGAATGTTGTCTGCTTCCTTCTCACTCCTGTAAGAATTGTAGTTTAAAGTGGGGCATGTAAAATTAATTAATTAATTAATTAATTAATGGGGCATGCATTGGTTGAGGCGGTACAGGAGAGAGTGCTAAGGAATCAAGGAAACAGGAGTGTGACAGTTTCAGTGCATAATCAACAATCAGTGTTTGGTTTTCTCTAAGGTAACATTTCAAGTTTTTCTGAAGTTTACAATTCACTGCTTTCTTTTGTTTAATGGTATTCTGTATCAGTGCTTCCAGAGCTATTTTCTCAAGGTGTTAAGTGGGTTCTCTGATTAAGATTAGAAACTCCAGTAATCAGTCTTTGCTCTCTAGTTCTGTGAGATCAGGTCTTTTACACTCCACATATGATTGGGACCATGTAGTATTTGTCTTGCTGTGCCTGACTTAGCTGATATTATGATCTTCAGGTCCATTCATGTGCGGCCAGTGACAGGGTTTTATCCTTTTTTATGACCAAAAAGTTTTCTATTTTGAATGACTGAATAACAGTGGTCTGTTAGCCAGAGGGTGATTATGCTTAACATTATTGCATTGTATTGCTGAATGTTCTTATCAAAAAGAAATAATAATAACTGAGATTATGGAATAACTAAATTATCCTGAGTTGATATACTTGTATGAATATAGCAAAATATCACATAATATGCCGTTAAAATGTGTTATGATTAATTGTCAATTAAAAAGCAAAAATAGGAGTTCCAGCTTTTTGGTTTTTTGAGGCAGGGTCTCACTATGTATTTCAGGCTGGCCTTGAACTCACTGTGTAACCCAGGCTGGCCTTCATCTCCTGCCTCAGCCTCCCAAATGCTGGGTTACAGGCGCGCCCTGCAGTACCAGGTTTAGGAATTGCATCTGTGTACTGTATCTGCGCAAGCTCAGTACAAAATCATTTGTCCTATGAAACTGTGTGTCGGTCCCTGTCTCTGTGTGCACACTGACTGGCCTCTTCTCTGCTCTCCCGGCACAGGCCTGCGACACGCCCCTGCACCCCCTGGGCAGGCTTGTGGAGACGCTGGTTGCCGTGTACAGAATGACCTATGTGGGTGTGGGAGCCAACCGCCGGCTACTGCAGGAGGCTGTAAAGGAGATTAAGTCCTATCTTAAGCGAATTTTCCAGCTGGTGAGGTAAAAGATCTTTTCGTTGAAGTCTGAAAGCTGTGGAGCAATACTTTATATTAATGCTTGTGTATTTTCACCCTAAATCTAGACACTACAACTTCGTGTTTTGTATGCTAATTTTTTGTTGTTTTTTTTTGTGATAGGGTCTCACTATGTAGTTCAGGCTAGCCTTGAAGTAACTCACTATATAGCCCAGGCTGGCTTTAAAACTCACAGCAATCCTCCTGTCCCAGCCTCCTGAGTGTTAGGATTACAGGTGTGCTCTACCATGCCCAGCTACAGTTTTGTGGAGAATCTTAAGTGTTCCCCCTTTTATTGTTTTTTTTTTTTTTATTTTTTTTTTTTATTTTTTATTTTAAGGATAAAAGGAGGGAAACATTAACAGA